AGGGAGGAGGGAGAAAGGAGGAGAAAGGGAGGGAGCAGAGAGAGGAAGGGAGGGAGGGAGGGAAGGGAAGGAGGGCAAGGAGGGTGTAATGTATGTAGTGGGAGAAGGAGGCGTCCCCACCCCCCACTATTATTACTTGTTGTTTGGTAGGTCGTGGCTGAGGTAAGGCAGTAGTAAGTAAGTACTGACGTACTCTGAAGATGTTGGTCTGAAGTTAAACTTGTCGCAGTTTTCTTGTCTTTATTCTGGTAACTGGTACAGAGGGCAAGGCAGGTGCCCAGGGAGGAGCACGTCCTGCCGAGCCCGCGGGGGCGAGCGGTCTGCTGTAGATGGCACAGGAATTGCCATGAACGAAGTTCGTTTTGAGACAATATACAATGGAAAAACATGAAAGAATATGAAAGAACATGAATTCAGAAACATCGGTTCACACACGTGTTAGGTGTTTGTACAACTAAAAGCGTCGTGATAAGAAAGTATGTCCGTAGAATATTCGTGAACAATTGATAACTAGAGTAACTACAATGAAAATTATTACAAAAGTAGTGATATATACAATGCAATAACTGGGGAACATTATGAGCATACATAATACATGAGTTTGCAAGTAGTTATAAGGTAATCAGAAGCATTGTCAGTAAGGGTCGGAATTGCTTGTTCTGGTGGCAATTTGTCTCGGTCGTCTCGCGAGGGGCGCAGGACACGTTGGCGCCGGGGATAAACAGTAGAGTCCTATATACTGCGGGGCCTACAGCGAGGGTGATGGCGAGGTCGAGGTGAGAGGTCACTAAAGAGGGAGGGAGGGAGGGGGAGGGAGGAGGGAGGGAGGGAGGGAGGAGGAGGAGGGAGGGAGGGAGGGAGGAGGGAGGAGGAGGGAGGAGGAGAGAGGAGAGAGAGAGGGAGAGAGGGAGGGAGAGGAGAGAGAGAGAGAGAGAGAGAGAGAGAGAGAGGAGGAGAGAGAGAGAGAGGAGAGAGAGAGAGAGAGAGAGAGAGAGAGAGAGAGAGAGAGAGAGAGAGAGAGAGAGAGAGAGAGAGAGAGAGAGAGAGAGAGAGAAGAGAGAGGAGAGAGAGGAGAGAGAGAGAGAAGAGAGAGAGAGAGAGAGAGAGAGAGAGAGAGAGAGAGAGAGAGAGAGAACCCAATAGAAAAAAGATACAAAAGAAAAAAAGGAGAATAATATATCTAACAATCCATTTGTAATCTGTCAGATGTCATTCTTGCTATGTTAATTAACTGGTTCCCTTGAGATTCACCATTCTGTTGTTCCAGTACACTAAAAATAACATTTATTATCTATATACAGAAATAAAATATTCTTTTTTACATTCCAGCTGCTCTGTGTTATTTATAACCAAACCAAAAAAAGAAACATTTAGGAAAACAGCACTATTTTCAAATACAAATGTCTGAATATAGCATACATAAAAAGGGTTGGAATCACACAAAGATACCCCCCCCACACACACACACACACAAGCACAACACACACACAAGCACACACACACGCATGCAACATGCACCACACCACGCACACGCACACACACACACACACACACACACACACAACACACACACACACACACAACACACACACATACAATATACACACAATCACACACATACAATCACACATACACATACAATCACACACAATCACACACACACACAATCACACAATACACACACATACAACACACAATACACACACACAACACACACACACACACAATCACACACACACAATCACACACACACAATCACACACACACAAACACATATACAAAAGGAAGGAAAGTCAGACATACCTGAAGAATACCCAATGGCAAGGACTTTGCTGTCAGGCCTCCATGCCAAACCTTTAACCTTCACATTTTCTCCGGGAGAGTTGATGATCCAGACCCGTTGCCAGTAGAGTCGATGCATTGACACTTGGGCTGCAAGAGGAGAAGAAAGGAAAGGAAAGGAGAAGAAAGAGGAGAGAGAGAGAGATGAGGAAGAGAGAGGAAGAGGAGAGGAGAGAGAGGAGAGAGGAGAGGAGAGGAGAGAGAGAAGAGAGAAGAGAGGAGAGAGGAGAGAGAAGAGAGAAGAGAGGAGAGAGAAGAGAGCAGTTAGGAGAGAGGAGAAAGAAAAGAAAAGGAAAGGAAAGGAAAGGAGGGATGACAAGATGAGACGAGATGTGGAGAGGGGAGAGAGGACAGACAGACAGAAAAAGAGTGAGAGTAAAATCTTTTTTTACCTATATCCAGTAAAACAAAAATAATCTTAAATGTACTTACAATTTTTCTATTCATTTGAGGTTGTACTTTCCAAATCTATACTTCTTTCATTATAATTTACAATTCACCTAACTAGAAATAAGCTAACAGTTCACATGACCCTAACTAATTTCTGAATTGGCAATTATATAAATACTCTTACTCATGATCGGCTGCTTCTATTGCCATTTTATGCCGTCATATAATGATAAATAGAAAGTGCACAGTCATCAACATAAACAAGTGATAACCTGTGCATTGTTGCATCTTTCAAGCATACTAACTGCTATAAGAATCATAGATCTCTTAAACAAATTTATACACTGAAATAACTCTTATCTTTACCTTGACTGTTTGCAATCGCAACTAAATCCATCTTGGGAGACCAAACACACTTGATGATTTCTGTTGCAACATGCCTCTCCTCCACCTGCTTCATTATACAAGTAGCCGCCATTTTGCCGACTTATTTTTGAAAGTCCGATTTTTATGTGTCACTTCTGAACAACTTTACACTTTTCATGACATGGTAAATCTTATTTGCCAATGTTTTACTTCTTTACTAATCCATCTCAAATATATCTGTCTTCTTTTATAGTGTTCCTTTCATTATTCAGATCCAATACATCCGCCTGAAATAAATGAAGAAATAAATTAGGAGTTACTTTTACAAAGAAAACTATCCAATTGATGCCTCTTTAATTCCATCCATCAAAACTGGGTTCTGGCCATTTCACTTCATCATGACTTATCAACTTGTATTGCCATGCAGTACCATACACAAATATCACATATGCTGTAATTATGTCTCTAAACACGCACATCGAAAATTAAGCAAACCCAAACATAAAAGTCTAAAACTCTTGTATCCAGGTTTATCATCCTATACCTTGCCTAACACCAAACCAAACCTATATCAGAACCCTATATCATAACATTCCGGATTTTATCAAATATGCATCATTGGTTAAGCTTTATGGTATTGATGCACAAAGCTACAGTAAATTCCCAAAGGGCACACCCAGTCACAGAAACTTAAATTTTTGAAAAAATTGTGACATGGAGTTGGGGATTTAGTCTCTGGCAAGTGTGTCAGTATTGTAAAAAGAATTAGCAAATCATCTAATGAGAAACTAATCACAGACATAACCAAACATAAAAGTACACTAAAAAGCACACTAAAACTGGTAAATATTACTGACAATTTTTTTTTTAGTACTTCAATTTTATAGTAGCTGCATACATGGCACAGATTTGTTGGCCTTTCCTTGAGCACTGACAGGTGGCACCACAGCCTGCAGAATTCAAGCCCTTCACTTATATAACTGTATAATACAACTAACTCACCAAAATCAAAAAAGAAAATAAATTTAAACTGTTGTTAAAATTAGATTTCATTCTTCAAAATCTGGTAGAAAAAAAATATGACAACCTATACTGGAAACCATATATAGTACAATTACTCTATTTTACATTTGCAAATTATAGCTATAAAGGCACTAGCACAGATCATTTGTGTATATATAAAGCAAACTTATGGGTATGAATAAATACAAATGTGAATATCAGAAAAGGGTATCTTTCTACTAAGTAGTATGCAACTAGTCAAGAAAAGTTCAATAAATTATTGACCTATATATGCCAATAAAAGACTAAGTGTCAGTAATCTGTTTTTACTACTGTTTACTACCAGTTTGCTAACTTTGTCTGCTGTGTATGTGAGGTGATTTTGCTGTATTAAAACTTGAGCACTACAATGTGCATGCACATATAATTCAGCATGTGACTAGTTTGCATTGCAAATTATAAATGAATATATGCATGTGATATGTTGAATAATGCCGTAAGAAAAAATACTTTCAACTCTATAATAGTTTGTTCTTGGGTCTAAGATGCTAACGGCTAGTACATTTATACAGATGATAGATGACAAATAACAATTTCAAATTTTGTTCCTAAAAGCTATCATAACATGTTATAGCTACACCAGGCCCCCTAGAACAACAAGACACTTGAACTTATAAATTCAAATGAAACATGTGTGATACTGCTACTTTGTAGCCTGGAGAGATACCCACATAACATACTGAAGAATCATTAGCATAACAAATAGAGGAGACATACCAAGGAAAAAACAAATTAAGGGGCTATGTGGTGACAGATTGGCAATTAAGAGCCAACAGCCTGCAACACTCTAAGGAAAACTCCCTGCAGCCATACTATTCAAACAAATGTAATTAAGTAAATATCAGAAATTTAGCAAGTGTGTGGAACTTGGAATGTGCATGTACCTGGAGAGTTCAATTCTTTTTTTTTAAATGTGTATATGAAATCAAGACTGTGCACCTGGGTAAGATTATCATCTATATGAGAGACTTGCATGTCCAATAACTTCATTATTTTTGTTACGATTAAAGTTCATAGAAGACGTTTCTTAGAATCATTTGCTCTATTGTTTGCATATATCATTTTCCGTCTAAAGGGCACTTGTATGAAACTGGACCTGTACCGATATAAATATTGTCTGGGAAGTTCCGATTGTCATAAATGGTAAAATAACCAGTTAATACATGAGAACAATAAATCATAGCAATTCCAAAACACCTTCTTTCCTGTTTCCCTTGCCACTTTCTTCAGAAACCCAAAAATAAAGTTGTAAGAATAGTGATGAGAAATAATGCCATTTATTTTCCCAAAACCAAAGCAGTTCATCAGTATATTACATATCATAAATGTACACAATACCTCTACACCATACATAAAACATGCAATCATACCAAAAACATTCATCTAACAATGCCACGTACTCTTTATCGTGAGAACCTGAATATGATTAACAAAATGATACGCCCAAAACAGTGTATATGCATCAATCACGAATATTTTTGGCCCATTGGGATAAATCTGAACCCGAGTTTGACCCAATCATCAATCTTTTCCTGACAAATAAACATTCCTAAACCCTGACACAAGGCTTCATCCCCCAAAATCATTTGTATAAACGAGGGAAATGTATTCAACGTCTTCCAGATTAAGAAAGACAAGTTATAAAAACTTGTAATTGTACCTGTAAATTGTAGTGAAGAATTATTTTTCGCCCAAAAATTTCAATGTTGTTGACACTCCCGCGGCTGAGCTGTGTCCGATTCCGTTGCTGAAATAATAACTTTTGAAACTTTAAACAACGGAAATTATTTGTATTTATATTGTGACTATATTGTATACATTTAACTGACGGATTATCGTCAAAAAAACTTCAGGACGAATATTCAACGAATAATCGTAGATCTATATATGTGTTCGGATTCCAACGCTTTCGGATATCTAGTACTTGAATTTTGACACGCACACGCACATGCACATACACACACACAGGCACAAGCACACGCACACGCACACAAGGTCTTTATAAGTACTTATATAACCTTGCACGCACACACATGCACACATTTACTCACACCCACTCACTCACACATACACACACGCACACACACACACACACACACACACACACACACACACACACACACACACACACACACACACACACACACACACACACACACACACACACACACACACACACACACACACACACACACACACACACACACACACACACACACACACACACACACACACACACACACACACACACACACACACACACACACACACACACACACACACACACACACACACACACACACACAACACACAAACACACGCATACGCACACATAATAACAAAATAATGATAATAATATAATAATAATAATAATAATAATAATAATAATAATGATAATAATAATAATAATAATAATAATAATAATAATAATAATAATAATAATAATAATAATAATAATAATGATAATAATAATAATAATGATAATAATAATAATATTATAATAATAATGATAATGATAATAATAATAATAATTATAATAATAATGATAATGATAATAAGGATACTAAAGATAATATAATAAAGATAATGATAACAACTATAATAATACATAACATTAATAACAATAATGATGATGATAGTAATAATAATGATAGTAATAATAGTAACAATAATAAATGTCATTATTATTATTATTATTATTATTATTATTATCATTATCATTATTATTATCATTATCATATTATTATTATATTTATTATCATTATTATTATTATCATTATCATTATTATCATTATTATCATTATCATTATCATCATTATTATTAGTAGTATTATCATTATTATTATCATTATTATCATTATTATTATCATTATTATCATTATTATTATCACCATTATTAGTAGCATTATCATTATTATTATTATTATTATTATTATAACAATAACGATAAGGATATATATAACTATGATGATAATTATAATAATAATAATATTATGATAATAATGATAATGACAAAAACAATGATGATGATAATAATAACAGTAATAACAATAACAATATTTGTAATGATGTAAACTGTAAAGAAAATAATCCTCATCATCCTCATCATCATCATAATAGTAATAGTATTAGTAAAGATAACAATAACAATGATCATGATGATGATAATGATAATGATAACAATAAAATCGATAACAGCAACAGTAACAATAATGATGATAATGATAATGATTATCATTTCATTACAGATCATTTTTGTATAATTATCAACATCATTGTTATTATTATTATTATTATTTATTATATTATTATTTATTATTATTATATTATTATTATTATTATTATTATTATTATTATTATTATATTATTATTATTATTATATATTATTATTATTATTATTCATTATTATTATTATATCATTATCATTATTATTATCTTTATCATTATCATCACTATTATTATCATCATCATTGTTACTATTATTATCATTATCATCACCACCGTTATTATTATTATCACCATAATTATCATTATTATTATCAATACCATTATTGTTCTTATCATTATCATAACTGTTGTCAATGTTATTATCATTACTGTTGTCATTATCATTATCATCATTATCATTATCATTATTGTTATATTATCATTACTGTCATTATTATCTTTATCATAATTATTATCATTATTATGATTATTACTATTTTTACTATTATCATTATTATCGTTATCATTATGTTTAATGGCATTATCATTACTGTTATTATTATCATTATTATCACCATTCTTCTTATCATTGTTATATTATTATCATTGCTTTTATCATTATCATTATAATAATTACTGTTAGTTTTATTACTATCTTACTATTATGATATTCATCATCATTATTTTCATCATCATTGTTACTATCAATATCATTATTTTTTATTACCATTATCATGATCATTATTGTTAATGTTATTATTATTATCATTATCATCATCATTATCATCATTACTGTTACTATTATCATATATGTTATTATTGTTATTATCCTTATAGCATTATTATTATTACTACTATTACAATCATTATTATTATTGTTATTAATATTATTATTATTATTATTACTATTATTACTGCTGTTACTATTATCATCACTATTACTATAATTACTGCAATTATCATTATTGATGTTATTATCATTATCATTATTTTCGTTGTTATTGTTGCTATCATTATCATCATCATTGCCATTATAATGATTATTGATAATGATATCATCATTATCATTATTCTTCTTGTTATCATTATTACATAGGCGTAAAAGGGGGCCAGGGGTTCCCCCCCCTTAGAATGGAGGAGCGAGGCCTGATCTGTGACATTCATTACACGGACATGCGCATACACAGAAATAAATGCATATCTATCAGTCTATACATGCGTATCTACTATAGAGCTAGAAAAATAAATGTATATTTATTGGATAGATCGATAGATATGCACTTATTTCTGTGTATATGGATGCCTGTTTATGCGGATATTAGTTGGGTCGGGTCTGGCACAATTTTAACAATTTTCTCAGTAAACGAACAAGCAGTACAATAGTTACAGTAGTTACCGTGTTGTTAAGAAACCTCACCCCCTGCAACTGAGAGGGCAGTTACAACTGCGCAGGATGTTCAAAATTAATTAACCATGGTGCCAAATATTATCTAGAGAAAAATGTCTGACATTTTAGTGCAAAAATTAATGAGTTTATCTCTATAGAATTGATAAAATTTAGGACTTTCTGGGGGGCTTCACCCCCTGTTCCCCCACCTGGGTGCTGACCCTGGGCCTGCAGCCCACAGGACCTCTGGCTATTTTGGGGGGAGCCCTGAGAGAGGAAACCTACATTGCCCTCCCCCCCCCACTCACTTCAAAATACCTTCCTACGCCCATTGCTGTCGTTATTATTGTTACTATAGCTGTTATTACTATTACCATTTTGATTATCTAGATATCATTGTCTTTATCCCCACATGATACGAGTTTTGATCTGTCGCTAGTTCTGCTTTTGGAATACCCCTTTCTATAATCGTTTATCGACCAGACATGCTGTTCTATAACAAGAATGCCGGCTACCATCGCTGAATAACTAGCGCGGGATCAGGACGAAGGGAAACAAAAATAGACGAGTCCCCCCTCCCATAGGTCACATGATTGGTGTCGCGCGAGAAATGTAGCCGGGATAACGTTTGCAAATAAACAATTAATTTTCGTTTTTGCAATAGTAATGTTATTGTGTCGTTTCAATGCTTATTTCATCAATTAATTGTTATATATATGCATTTTGAACTTATAAGGAATGGTATCATTATCAGTTCGTTGTCGTCGGATGAGAAAAAAAGAAAACGGTTATTGTAATGAATATTGCACTTTTTCAATAATGCACATGTCCAAAGGAATTACAGTAAAGAACACGATATGGAAACGCCCCTACTTCTTAAACATGTCATGAAACAAGAATATTTATGGTAAAAAAGACTGTTACTTCCAGTTAATTATAAAATACGAAGAAAGTCATTCTTTTCGCTATCTTGCTTTCGTTATCTAATGCATAGTGCTTGAGAAATCATCAGCGAGAGGGAAGTGAGTCACGGAGACCGGCGAGGGAGGGTAAGGACGGCTGGCAAGGTGCCGAAAGAAGGACAGCATCTCTAGGTATAATAATCTGGTATTTCATGTGTGATATAGCACTGCATTTTGTTTACAATCTGTTAATTTATGTGATTGTCATCGATGTCAGTTTAGTCACGGCTTTGCAAGCACTACATATTGCTGGGTCATCCTTTTTTGCCAGTATCAGAGATGACTCCTGTGAAGACCCATTATATATTGTGTTAAACAGTAGTTCGTATTCTCAAGAATTACAAATGCGCTTTATTTATGTTCTGCTTTATCATGCCTGTACCGTGGTCTGGAGACCAAATCCTGGCCGGTTGCGCAAAAGCTTTCGAATGCTAATAGATTAGTTTAGGAAAATAATTTGCATTACATGAGAAGCAGTATTGTAAAATTGGTATGTTGAAATTATGCAAGTAGATATCCTAATATCACAATTTGATATTGTGTTATTTGGTGTTCATTATATAGTTCACAAGGCTATTTTCAGGGAAAAGTACTATTCATAGTTCTTAGTTATTCATTTTCTAATTGAGAAAATTGTCGGTAATTCTGAGTAAGAGAGCCGTGCCTATTTGTTATGTTTGTTTTCTCCTACCCCCTTCAATCTTGAAAATTGGGGGTTGAAGGGGGGGACACACACAGGAGAAATAGTGGAATCAAAAGTGAAAATTTTGAAAAAAATGCAAAATCAGAACGAGAGTCCAGCGCCGCTGCAAAATGTACCACGCTGGTGTCAAGTGTTGCCGAAATCCAGACGAAATTTCTTAATCTAACCTGATCCGGACCCCTCTTCCCTGGGGTATATCCTTACCAGAGGCAAGCCCCCGGACCCCCTTCTCTGGGGTATTTCCTCACCCCTTTCCTAGGGGTATTTCGCCATACAAACGAAGCATACCTTCCTAACCCCCTATTGGGGGCAAGCCCCCAGGCACCCTTCCCTGGGGGTACTTTTCAGAAAGCTCTTGAGACGATTCGAGACATCAAGGGTTGTGGACTCTTAGAAAGGCAACCTTTGAATCTGAATTAAAGCACAACAAGTGAGGTCCCGACAATTTTGTTAACTTCCCCGACATGTACGAACATTAGTTAAGAATTCTATTATACTTTCCTCTGTATATGTAGTACAGCTGCCTTAATTAGTATTGCCAAATTGTCCACTATCCCTATATATTAAATTAATTTTGGTTTTGGTAATATTGTAGAATAGTTCCGCTTAACGGATTGCACAACTTTTGGTATCAATGGGTTCTGCTCACTCTGTATAACCCAAATATATAAACATTATTTTGCAAACCCCCCTCAACCCCCACTCTCTTGGCCCTGATAGCATGGGAGGGCATGAAAGGTGCCAGGGAAATTGCAGGGTAAAATATAGATAATATATACAGAATCACTTACCTTATTCTCCTGTGACCCTTCCATGGGGGGGTTGCTGCCTCCCATGCAAGGGTCACAGATTGTGGCTAATGGAGGGGTTTCTGTGCAATAGTTTCTATATATTTTGATAGTAAAGAGTGAGAGGAATCCATCGATACCAAAATTGTTGCTGTCCATTAGGTGGAACTATTCTGTAAAATTGCCTTGGTTTTGTATTTAGAGTTTTGTTTATACAATTGTTGTAGATTTATATTTTTGATTATGAGTCGGCACTTATATTAGTAATGCAAGTTCAAATTGAAATGTCAGGACAATTATTTAACTTCAGAGATTCATGCCAGAGGATGTCTCACCTTGGCGAACAGGACCTAAATTATCCAAATGCCGTATGACTGCTATCTATGCCATTTGCAGTGAGGCCTGCTCTCAGTTATGTGTTCTAAGCACTTGTTCACTTGTTTAACCATAACTGCAGTCATTGATGAGGAAATGCAGCCTCTTAAAAGTAGGCCTGGTTTCTTTTTTGCCTCATTTCATTAGAGAAGCATGTATGCTGCAGCCAAATACATTGAGAGCAGATGTTTCACACTGTGTTCAGCTTGGTTTGCTGCAAGAAGTCCTATCATGAATAGGGTAAAGATTAGGCTAGTTCCTGGATTTTGCAATGTTAAGTGTTGTAGTACATAAGTGTATTAGATGCAAAATGTATTTGAGACTTTGTGTTAGCAATAGTGTCTTCTAATTTATTTATGGCCATTATTTATTAGATCTGTATTTTTTCCCAGACAATATGGCAGCGGAAAAAGAAGTTGATATCTATCGTGACACTCCAGTCCGATTACTTGGTAAGTTACTTGTTAATTGACTGAAATACTATAAATTTATTAGTGTAATTAATATCTTTGATAATCTATTGTACCTATGATTCATAGTAAATAGTCACCATAGAAGACATGTTATAATGATATACACTCATTGTAAAGTTATAATCCTAAAAATATGAACCATGTTAGTAAGATATTTATGCAAAAAGGACTATTTATTACTTATCTGCTTACATGCACACACCCACACCCACAATCACACACCCACAATCACAATCACACACACCCACAATCACAATCACACACACCCACAATCACAATCACACACACCCACAATCACAATCACACACACCCACAATCACAATCACACACACACATCACAATCACACACCCACAATCACAATCACACACACCCACATCACAATCACACACACCCACAATCACAATCACACACACCCACAATCACAATCACACACACCCACAATCACATCACACACCACAATCACAATCACACACCCACAATCACAATCACAATCACACACACCCACAATCACAATCACACACACCCCACAATCACAATCACACACACCCACAATCACAATCACACACACCCACAATCACACACACAATCACACACCCACAATCACAATCACAATCACAATCACACCACCCACAATCACAATCACACACCCACAATCACAATCACAATCACACACACCACCACAATCACGCACACACAATCATACAATCACACACACACACACACACACACACACACACACACCACACACACACACACACACACACACACACACACACACACACACACACAACAACACACACACACACACACACACACTCTCTCTCTTCTCTCTCTCTCTCTCTCTCTCTCTCTCTCTCTCTTCTCTCTCTCTCTCTCTCTCTCTCTCTCTCTCTCTCTCTCTCTCTCTCACTCACTCTCTCTCTCTCTCTCTCTCTCTCTCTCTCTCTCTCATCTCTCTCTCTCTCTCTCTCTCTCTCTCTCTCTCTCTCTCTCTCTCTCTCTCTCTCTCTCTCTCTCTCTTCTGACATTCTTTGAAAACTCAAAAAATCTATCCTCTCCATGCTTCTTCTTCGCATTCATCATAATCATCTTCGACAAAGGCCATCTTTTGGCATTCTTTGTAAAAACTAAAAATCCACCACAAGCAGTTTCTTCTCTTCTTATTATTCCTTTCCAGTTACCAAAACAGTTCCATCTTGGTTGTGATACAGATGATTCAGTATTCTGAAATATTTTACTAGGCATGTGCGAAGGGGTGTAAGGGGCACGAACTTTGAAGTCATTATAGGTGAAATAATAATATATTTATGATTATTATCAGTCCTTTTTTACTTTTGTTTATGATCGTAATTATAGTACATTTTCTGTATCTTATGTATGTGTAAATCTTTGATTGAAAAATTGGCTGGAAGAATAAGTATTGTCATAATTTACCATAATTTGCATTCTTGTATAGATATGAAGCTTATGAAATATTTCCTCCCCCTTGTAGGTTATGCTAATGAAGTAGGTGAAGCTTTTAGAGCCCTGACACCTTTGTGGTTTGTTAGGTCAACATATGGAGTTGCATCAGCATATGTTATTGCAGACACATATGATAAGTCAACAAAAATGAGCAAGGTAAATAATTAACAGTACTAAGTAATGAACTGATATTGTTGTGTTTGATTTGCATAAAACAAAGATAAGCCATATACAATTTTAGATCAGAGCATTTCATAAGTTTATGTTGATCATCTTCAGCAACCAGGTGCTACCCAGCGTGCTATCACTCATGCCGCAGTGGACACACTTCTTTGGCAAGCCTTTGCATCAGTGATTGTACCAGGCTTTACAATCAACCGTGTGTGTGCTGCCTCCCTTTATACCATGGCCAAGACTATTCCGAGAATCCCTCTGACAACAAGAAAATGGATAACAACAGCTATTGGCCTAGGATGCATTCCGTTTATTGTTCATCCAATTGATAGTGGAGTTCATTTTGTAATGGATAATTCTGTACGTAGGTATATGGATCTTGCCCCAAGAGAGGAAGGTCAGGAATAAATTAATAGAAAATCACTATTCATGGACAGAAGGCTCAAGTAAGTGTTGATATTTTATTTTTTGGTTGCCAAGGAATGCTTAAATCAACTGTATTTGTATATTAAAAGCAAAATTGTTTTATCTGGTTTTGAAATTGTCAGCAGTGTATAAGTAACAATTACTACTGGAATTTTAGATTTTTAAATATTTTTGTTTAGAAAAGTATTTTTTAGTCAATGGCAGACCGGAGTACATGCATGTGTGCCTTAATGTCTT